AACTCCATCAGCTTCTCCGTCTCCGGCATCACCTCCTTCACGGCCTCGTGGGCGCAGAACCTCCCCGCCCAAACCGCGAGCAGAGGCGTCTTCTCCTCGTCGAACAACTTGAGGCCGGTCATCCGCTCGATCACCTTCGCCCATCCCAGGTAGGAACCGAGAGCGATGTCGACGTAACCGATGGTGTCCCCGCCGAAGAAGGCTTTGCCTTTGCTCAGCTTCTCGAACGCCTCCTCGAGCAGCTTCAGCCCGGCCCACGCTTGCTCTGCGGATTCGGCCTTGGCCTCCTCTGTTTCAGCCTTTGCGATGCCGAACATTGACGGGAACCACTGCGTGCAGAAGGATTCAGTCATCATCATTCATGTCGATGATCGTAGAAAATTTATAGACCAAGAAAACAGAGATCAGAAATTGATGGAGGCATGCGAACCTTGTCGTCGATGTAGAAGGCCCAGAAGCGGTGGAGGGCGCGCTCGTAGGTGTCGGCCGGCAAGATGGCGTGGCCGGAATTAGCCCAGGCCCCGTCGACGTACTCCACGATGATCATCGACTCGCAGACGGGCTTGTCGTGGTGGAGGAGGACGGGGATCTTCTTGTACACAGGGTTGGATCTCAGAAGCAGCTCGCTCTTCTCCCCGAACTTCTCCTGCAGGAACTCGTACTCCACCCATTTCAGGTTCAGGGCGACCCTCGGGCGCAGCACGAACGGGCTCGGCCACGCCCCGATCAGCCTCACTTCTCCTTCCTCCGCTGCCATTGCCTTCTTCTTCTTCTCCCTTCTTCAGTATGAGAGGCAGCAACGCCTGGGCTTCGTTCGTATATATAATAAGGGGTGATGCTTCTTGGAAGCTGCTGTCCTGCTTCTTGGGCAACAAGGCAGCGATGAATTGCTATAGAAATAAAGCGTGCGTCTGCAGTGACGACGCAGGGAGTCCCCGTATTCATTGTTGGCGCAAGCGACGTCGTCATAACTGCCGGATTCATCGGTGGGGAATCAGATTCCACATCTAATTTTGTTTCCTTGGACAAAGTAGAACTTTTGACTCCATGTTTGACCAAACGACACCTATATATATCGCCCGTTGAGAACAGAATCAAATTTCTTTATAATCAACCATATATTAAGTCCATTGAAATGTTGACGAATACAATGATGTCACATCGGCAGCACGAGAACAGCTGCAGGTCACAGCCCACGGGAGAGAGTAGTAGGATGCGGAGCCTCCGATGCTACCTCGCCTTGGATTCACCGTTCAAAGAGTGAGAATTGGGTTTGATACCTTCGAGCACGATATGAAATTAATTATAATTAGTTATTATTAATATTTTGATCTTTATATTTTTAAAATATTATATTTATATATATATATATATATATATATATATATATATGTGAAATATTTAACCTCATTTCTTATCAATTCATAGGGTTTATCATTGATTATATGCTAATTTTGTCTTACTTCGATTCATTATTGGGCATGTACAATATTTCTATCAACATAATTAATGATATGAAAATAAAATAAAATTAAATATTTTATTTTTATAAATATAAAGATCCTGATATAACTTTTGAAAATATATGAATCATGCTAAAGGTAACTAATTATAGGAAATAATTTATAATTAGTAGCAGGATATCACTTGTTTGATACAGCATATCTTATTCTTAAGCTTGCTATTGTTATTGTATGGGTTCTTATTATCATTATTTTTTTATTATATAAAAAATGACTTTTGTATTGTCGTGTAAATCCTTTATTTAAATTTTAAATTATAGGTTAAACAGAATATGTATGACTTAATCTTTCAATCCTTAAGCGCACGGAACTATCTTCATAATTCATCTTTTTTTCTCATAATGCATGTGAATATTTTTATATGTTAATTATAATTTTTATCTGTTTATAAAATAAAAATCAATTAAGATTTGTTAATTCTACTTCTGTCGAGATCGTTTTGTATAATTGCATATAGATCATGGGAAAATGGTTTAAATATTTAAACGATTTAAAACCAAAATGATCTCTTACTATTTTTTAAAATAAAAAAATAAAATCTAATAACTCAGGATTAATTCTGATTTGATTTAAAATCGATTAACCATCGTAATCAATAATCAATACTACCACCATATACTTGTACACCAAGCACAGCGCTATAAATGACCTTCACCTACTTTTTCTTAATGCATTGGTCTCCACCAAATATCTTTTACGCTCTAATTAAAATTACAAGAAATAAATGACGAAAGTTCAAATTTGAAAGAGGTAACTGAAAAATCATTACAAGGAAAATAATAAACGAATCAAATATCTGCCCAAGATATCTCGATTTATAAAGAAAATTAACGATATAATATATATATAAGTTTCGACCCTTTATTCTTGTACACTCTTCGCTTATGATAATTTGTATTTCTTCTATTTAGTAGCAATCATCTATGACTATTCTACACCGTTTTCTACTTTGTGAGGGTGAGAAAGTTATGAGTATCATACTATATATTCCTTACTTTCCAAAGTTGTTTCTTTTTTATTTGCATTAACCATCAAACTCCATGACCGAATGGTTATTGTCCATTACCTTTCGATCGTACGTGAGTGAACCAACTGTAACATAATGAATGATAAGATTTATGTATAGATGATTAGGATCAGTTCGCTTCTTTCTAAATGACATTATTATTATGCATGTGCATGGATCATTTGCGCGTGCAATACATGATTATTGTAAAATCTTTTTTTTTTCTTGTAATTAAAACTTGTTAAATTTGCTTGTCCTTTGTTGAGGGATTTCGTTTTTAACATCCGAGTCAACCCGACATTGTCCAAATCTAAAGGCATAAGAGTATCCTAAGTGGCTCTAAGGTGATTTTAGAATGGCCCCAAGGTGGAAAGTCAATCCTCTGAAGCATCGCCTGCACTGAGATTGATGTCGAGAGAAGTTTTCTGACTCGATCCCTCCAACATTCAAGTTAGTCCAAAGTTCTTTTTGGGTATTGATTTTTCTCCAAAAAAAGAGTCCCTTAGCATAATACCAGGGGTTAGCTTTTATACCTGGTCTATGGAAAGGACAGTTTGCATGTACCCCAATGTCATCCTTTAATGTTTTGTCCATGTGGGTATAGGCAAAGACAAGCTCGAATTGTCTCCATTGGATTGTTGTCCATAGGAGTAAACAAGTGGAGGGTGACTAAGATCTTTACTTTCCACGTCGTCTTCACATGGCGATAGGTGTCAGATGGTGATTGGTCGCCTACATATTCCTTATCATCCTTCATAGCATGTGATAATATTTCAAGATTAGAATCAAATTTTTTTTTTGAGAATTTTGCAGGTAATGAAAGGATTTTGTTCATCGTTCTTGGTATGAAATATGCCTCCTTCTAATTGTGCCCTCCTTACTATATTCATATTGCACGTACAATTGGTTTTCATGAACTTTGTTGTAGTTAATATATAATCTTTACTTTTAGGGCTTCAAACATGCAATATATTCATTCGTATTGCAACTTCATCTTTTTTATTACACGATAGTTTACCCACCTGTGTCTGTCTATCGTGGGAAAATTCATCTTCATTTAATCAAATTATAGTTTGACTGATTCAATCTTTTTTTTTATTTTGACTCAGTCATATAAAAATTTGTCCACCTCGGTATAATAATATGTCAAATTTTGAAGATCACTTACCAAATCAACCTTATATAACTCTATCAATTTTAAGAATCTCTTAGTTTATCTCTTTTCATCTCACACATATTAATATTTTTATTAAAAAAATATTTTTTAATATCACTCTAAAAAATGTATAGTTTGTAGAAATATTTAGAAGAAAAAAAAGATATTTAGCTATATTAAAGGTTCTTTTTAGTGAAATTAGTGTTCATTCAAAAAATTTATTTTTTGCATCAAATAAATAATAAATTTTAAAATAATCAGAACTAACAGATCCATATAATTTTAAAATTTTATCATAAATAATTTATATTAATTAATATATGAAACTCCTCTATATCAATATGACAATATATTATGGGTAATGTTTATCGATCCTCCATAAGAGAGTGGTGCCTAGGCGGGCTAATCACATATTACCTTCTGTAGTTAGACCTTTTTAGCATTTCAATTTCTAGACATAAAAAATTTATATTGAAATCTCTATAGTTATAAAAGTGAAACATATAACCCCATTTACCCTAATATCATTAACTTTACCAATGGAAGATACATCATGTGATAGCTCGTGTATGAATGACATGAAAACAATGGACAAAAAGGTCATTTCAATTATGGTGACGAATGGTGGCACTGTGGGTGGCTGTTGTGGTGGTGGTTGGTGATAACGATGCAATGGTCGGCCTTGCCGATATTGATTCGAACATCAACGATAAGGAGGAAGAGGAGGTAGAGTGATGAAGCATCTGTGTTGGTAGTTCACCGGAGGAAGAGGAGGGAGGTGAGGTATCTGCATTGGCAGTATACCACTCTACCTCTTCTAGCATTGCTCTACATCTACGTCGACACTAGAAGAGGAAGAAGAGGTAGGTGAGGCATCTACGTCACCAACAATGAGGTAGGAGGAGGAAGGTGAGGTAGAGTGGATACGATTGATCAACCTTGAAACACTAGCCAAAATGGTGATTCCCGGTCCGAAGGCTAATTGCAATGCAGCAATCTATCGTTTCTTCATCATCTTGCTCATCATATCCATCGCTACTATCTTTCTGATACTTTCCCCCACCACCATGACACTAGAGGTGAGTGGAAAGGAGAATAAGAGTTTGTTGTCTCTCCCATCGTGAGATTTGTACTATTTGGGCCTCTATTTTGTGCGATGATCAGTCTTCATCGTTTGATCGAATCCCCTCCAATTGTGGGCGGAGTTGATTTGGATGCCGATCGGCAACCACACCAATGTGGATGGGGCATATGTGCCATTTGCATGTTGACTAAAGCTCGAGAGCTTGAAGTAGGCATGCCTCTTCACCAAGCTCGTTCGCAACCTCTCGCTCCTTCTTGTCGCCCATGACCCCTTCCTCGAATCCACCATGCCACTAGACGAAGCCACCATCCGAGAATTTGAGTATGACGCTAACGTATATGTCTCACTTGCCTCATCTTTATTCTCTAACGTTGATGCAAATGTAGAGCTGCTTTGGAGGAGGAAGATGAGACAGAGTGGTGCGGCGCCAACGCAAATGCCTTACCTCCCTTCTCTTTCTCATCATCGTCGATGTTTGAATCAACATCGACAAAGCTAATCAACATGTTGTTGTCACTGACCACTACCACAATAGCCACCCACAATGCCACCATCCATCATTACCATTGAAATTACTTTTTTGTCTATCGTTTTTGCACTATTCATGCATATGCTATCGCATGTTGTATCTTCCATCGGTAAAATTGACGGCATTAAGGTAAATGTGGTTAAATATTTCACTTTTATAACTATAGAGATTTTAATATAAAATTTTGAACTATAGGGATCGGGATACTAAAAAGGTCTAATTATAAGGGGTAATTTATAATTAGCCCACCACCACTATTGAAATTATCTTTTTGCCCATCGTTTTCTTATCTTTCATGCACTTACCATGTATCTTCCGTTAGTAAAACCGACGATGTTAAGATAAATGGGGTTCAACGTATCACTTTCAATATAAGGATTTCAATATAAATTTTTTAAATCTAGAGACAATGATGCTAATGAGGTTTATCTATAAGGGGTAATATGTAATTAGCCAACCACCATAATTGAAATTACCTTTTTACCTATCATTTTTATGTCATTCATGTATATGTCACATATTGTATCTTCTATCTGTAAAGCCGTTAGGATAAATAAGATTAAATATTTTACTATCATAATTATAAAGATTTTAGTATAAATTTTTAAAGTAATATATAGAGTAATACTTTGAGTAATATATCGGTAAAGTAATACTAAAAAAATCTAACTATATAGAGTAATTTATAATTATCCCTATAGTAGGCCTACTTTGAATAAGAAATAATTAAGCTTATCTAATATTATCTTATCACATTGTTAAGTTTGTCATCTCGCATAAGTTGTGCAATCCAATATGCACGAGCTTGGCTTTATCTAGACATAGTATTCCTATGTTCCTCTGCTACCTGCTTCGCTTTTCTTTCTTTTCTTTCTACTAATCTCTCTAATGACATTATAATAAATCTAATATTTAATTTAAATTTTTTGAAATGATGATTGAATTTGTTTATTAAGATAAAATAAATTTATTGTCTGACACAACTTTCGTCTTCCTCTTCCAGAGATTTTTTTTAATATTTTACCTAAAATAATATTTATTGTTGGGCATATATGTGATGATGACACCTCTTTTTTATCACTTTAATGAAAATATCTTTCTGCACCACCCTTGCTCTTAGCTACAAACAAATTATTGCCAACACCATCGCCACCATGCTCTCGAGTAGCTGCCTCCTCCGCCTTCATCATTATTGTCACACCTCGTCTCATTAGCGATAGAGAGCTTTTCCTCTTCACCATTATCGCCCCTTTTGCTTTAGGCCGCTAATGGAGAGCAAGGTGGTAGTGACGATCTGATAATAGTGGCGCAAAAGAATATAACGAAGGTTGTAGCAAAAACAGAGTAGACAATTAGTAAGGGTGAGGTGGTGGCGATAATGTTGAGAGTCATGGAGGAGTGAAAGATCGTAGAAGAGGCATTGATGATATGCGAATGATGGGAGATGGGTATGGTGGTGAAGGAATACTTTTATCAAAGCGAAAAAAAAAAAAAGGATACATCATCATATAAAAGTTTAATAGTAATAACTTTTTTTATAAAATATCAAATTTATTTCAAACACATGTTTACTGGCAAAGAAATCCTTTATTGATAAGCATAATATATTATTCAACACACCAATATATATATATATATATATATATATATGGCCATATATATATAATATGGCCATCTTAAAGGATTTTTAGTTTGCCGGAGGAGTTTTGGCACTGGCGGCACGCTTCCTAGCGAACTCCGCTAACCTCTCTGGCTCCGGCATCACCGCCTTCACTGCTTCGTGGGCGCAGAACCTCTCCGCCCACCTCGCAAGCAGAGGCATCTTCTCCTCGTCGATGAACTTCACACCACTAGTCTTCTCCGTCACCTTCAGCCACCCCAGGAAGCACCCCAAGGCGATGTC